TTTTTTTTTTTTTTTTTTTTTTTTTTTTTTTTTAACACGCCCCTGTCAGTGTTAGTGGTGCTGATAAGAGTAGATATGAGTAGTTAGATCGAGGGATAAGAGTTTAACGGCTTCGATCTAACTACTCGTATCTATAGATTCTATACTAATTACGTTGACTTTGTTCTCTAGCTACCTGTACAGGCAATAGCTTCCCTAAGCGGTTCAAAGGATGACTACACGTGCCTATGGAAGCAACAGGGACTACGCTTAAATTCACGAACCCACGCTTAAACTATACTGAGGTTACGGATCGACACCCACCTATCTCTACTCTGTACAGGGAGCAGCACCCAAGTTCCTGACTCCCGGCGTGGGATGGAAAGAACCACTTCCTTCCACAACCAGCCAGGCGCCCGATCCAACAATCGCCGCCCGTGAACCCGAAGTATATACCCAGTGAGGTCGCAGGCTCGATACCCGACGTCGCGTCGCGTATCCTACCCGCGACCTCCTGAGTGCCACTTACACGCTCAACCGACTGAGCTAGATAACCCGCTTGGGCTAACCCGCTTGGGCCATAATGAAGTTGGCGTCTATTAGGTTGCAAGTTCAAGACGTCACAACAATGAACAGCTTGGAACTCGAAAGCAGAAGGGGCAGCTTCAATGAAGTTACCTTTTTTTTTTCTTTTTTTTTTTCTTCTTCTTCTTTTTTTTTTTGTTGAAAAAAAACAGTGTCGTTGCTAGGAGAGGTGGTACGAGCACTCCCGCCTAGCAAGAGCACTGTGTGCTCCAGTCTATTGGTGGGGGGAGCAGCACCTGCTGGAAAGCGGCTCCAGCGTCCCACTATTACCTTTATTTTTTATTTTATTTTTTTTGTCCCACTGTTACCTTCAATTAGGTTGCAACTCCAAATCCTGCTGCTGCTGCCCCAACAAAACCTGTTTGCTTCAGAGGTAAAGTTTGGCGCAGCTGGCGCAGCTGTGCAGATTTTCCTGGTGAAGACCCGAGTTGAGCCATCAGGACGCGGGACACTTCCGTCGGTCGTCCTGTACGGGCTCCGTCGCACATTTGAAATTTGAATTTAACAGTGTGCACGCGGGCCCATGCATCAGTGAAACGCCAGCGCATTGACAGGTACACATACGCAACGGCATATGGCAGCCACTTGTCCAACTTTTTGCCCGGATCGCTAAAGCTCGACCGAGGCGTCCATAACAGGCACGTAGCCAAGGCAATAACATTATGATTTTATGATTTTATGATTTTTTCAGATTTTATGATTTTGAATTTTAGACCTGTTGCACTTTTCGAAGGCTATTCAAAGATCTCAAATTTTCTGTTAGACATGTGATGCTTTTTTGAAGTTTTTCTTCTTTTTTTTTTTTTTTTCAAAAAAAGACATTCGATGCTTTCAGTTCCCTATCACTGTTGTTTCCATTTTGCTTATCGCTGCTGTCTGCACTACTCGTGGCATTGTTTAGTGACTTGCCATTGCCGTCTGCGATGCAATTGGCACTGGCATTTGATTCCTTTTTCGGTGGCAGCATCTGAGAGTGTTCTTTCAGAACGTATCCGGCCCAGCAAGGGAACAAGAGATACACGCAGAGCAAATGAGCGCTCACATATGTAAATACAAGCAACCAAGCAAACACTCAAGCCAGCACGTGTGCGCGCGCGCCAGAGAGAGAGAGAGAGAGAGAGAGAGAGAGAGAGAGAGAGAGAGAGAGAGAGAGAGAGAGAGAGAGAGAGAGAGCTTCCAACACATTCAGTGCGTCAGTGGCTGCTCCAGGGTTCATGAACAGCACTTGACTTCGTTGTGCAGAAGTCAAAGGCAGTTTTGATTGAAACAGTTCTCGTCAGTGGTTTTCGATATTCCTAGGCAGTGGGGAGATGGCCCTGCAAGACTCTGTCATCATCTTCGGACAGGGGGTTTGTCGACTTTGTGGAAAGAAGGAAGGGGGGCCTATTGGGGCCCCATTGCATGTGCTGTACATGTCAGTATGCAGGGGGTCTATTGGGACTGAAGAATATGGTTGTTGAGACGAAGGCCGTTACGTGCAAAAAGACAGGGATTGGAAAATTGCAAATCCATTTCACAGTCGCCAACCCGAGCTGGATGCCTCGGCAGAGACTGCAGTGCGTGCCATAGCGCATGGCTCCACTCCTCACCACATTTTTTTCTCCTAAAAGACAGAAAAGTAACCGTATAGTTCCATGTTCTGGTGGAAGATTCATTCTCATTTTGCACATTTGCTGAGTGGTGGAGCGAGCGAGTCCCATAGTTTTCCTCTTCACGGCGATCAAGCTCAGTCCACATGTGAATACACCGACGAGGACTCGGCGTGCTCAGCGGGAAAAATCTTCGTCAGCAGACGGCCGGTGTGCTAGGAACACTAGCATTCATGCCTTTGCAGCGAAATTTTGAGTTTACCTGTTTTGCCCTTTTTTTTTTTGTCTTATTTTTTTTTAGCCTTTTTTGAGTTTACCTGTCTTTTTGAAACCTTTGAGTTTTCCCAGTTTTACGGAACTCTTTCCTTTTTTTAGGCTTATTTATTTATTTATTTATTTTTACTTTTTACCCTTTTTAAAGTTTACCTTGTTTCCTTGAATTGTTTCAATACCTGTTGGAAGTTCACGGCTGCTCTGACTGCCCTCTCTCTCCCCCTTCCTCCCCCTTCCTCCCCCTTCCTCTCCCTCCCCCCCCCCTCTCCCTACCTCCCAAAAATTCACACAATCACATGGCCATGCCCACGCCCACACACTGTACACTGTATTAGTGTAACGAGTCAATGGAAACTGGTATATTTTTCTTCTGAAGGGGAAGGTGAGATTCCGATTTCATCGCCGATTCTCGAAGGAAGTCAGGTCTCTATTTCAACAGTTCAGGGGTGTACCGACTGAGCGCGCCTCAGTCTCAATCTTCTACATCTTTTTACGTTGAAGTCATCAAGTAAACGCTTGAGAAGACTGCGTAATTGCACAATTCAAGCTGATCGGAGGGCGTGCTTACATACTGTACTTCACCGAGAGACTGAAAAGGAGAGAAGAGAAGCTGGGGTGCCATGCTCCACGTCACCTGTCGCCGCCAGCTACAGTCTAACAGCAACCCGCCCTTCAGCGGATATCGTTCTCTTCACCAAGGCTTTCTTCCACCTTCCCACGGTGTATACAAGTAGTTTKAGAAGCAGGCRTRCCATGCTCCACGTCACCTGTCGCCGCCAGCTACAGTCTAACAGCAACCCGCCCTTGAGCGGATATTGTTCGGTTCACCAAGGCTTTCTTCCACCTTCCCACGGTGTATACAAGTAGTTTGTACTATTCGAGGCCCATTATACATTCCCTTGGTACATAGTTTGTGTAGCATACACGTCGTTTCCTGTATGCTAGTACAACACGTCGTTTCTTGTATGCTAGTACAAAAGGCATACAAATCGTTGCAATCTGCACACGCTAGAATACTTCAATTTCGACACTAACTTATGTCAAATGCACGCAAGTGGATCGTCTCCATATTTAAGCCACCACCACCACCAGTAGGTTTTCCAGCCATTTTTCTCCGACACAGCTGTGCTGCGTCCGCGCTGCAATTTCTGGGGGTTGGCTGCCTGAGCAAACTGCCACCAGCCAAAAGGTCTGTGCCGATGCATGTTTTTTTTTTCACTTTTTTTTTAACGTTTTTTAACTTTTTTTGGTGTGCACTGTTCAGGGCATTTAGAGACCCCCGTGAAGAAGTGGCGCGGAACTTCGGTAGCATGGGGGGTTTAATGGGCTTTTTTTTTTTTAAGTTTTTTTTTTCTTTTTTTTCAGAGTTGCTGTGTGCAGTAAACCGCGTTCAACAGCGGCCTGGGCGCTGTAACCCAAGCCCAGGCCCAGCGAGCAGTGCGACCACACGCTGCTCGGCCTCAGGCCGCTGCGGGTGCTGTGTGACCACGCACAGCAAGAAATTCAAAGGTCAAAGTGAACTGTAGGTCCAGGTACCTCGCCCAGGCCCTTGGTCGTGTGCATTGACTTGTATGTGTGCAGGTACCCAGTCAGAACGGTGGACCAAGGAGGATACAGTTTCAACTCAATCCAGGCCGGCGACGACAATCGATCTCGGCCGTGTCTGACTTGAGGACTGGGGCCCAGACCCCGCCGTCAACACTACATATTGGGCTGATTTCCTGGCTTTGACGGCTAGACTCTCGTCTGGAGTCTATGGGGACTCGACGCTCTCGCGTCAACGCCGGCTCTATGCTGTCTTGCTCGCGAGACGCTGCGGGGAGAACTTGACGACCGGCGCTTGTCGCTGGTTCGTGGCTTGAGTGTGCTGTGCGACCAGCATGCTGGCTGGCGCACTATTGTCTGAGGGGTTGTCGATATGGCAGATGCCACGTGTCATCTTCGTGGCTGCTGCCACGTAGTATTGCTGCTGAGATAGAAGGCGCTGGGCGCCTGTATTGCTGTTCTGCTTGACAAGTATTCGGAAGAAGGATTCAGGACTGTGGTTTGGGTCGTGATACGTACCTTGTGTCTTCAACTTCGTCGTCACGTTGCTGCTTGATGACTGGTCTGCTGGTGCTACGTGGCACTATTGGTCTACAGTGTCTTGGATGTCCGGATCTCTGATTGAGACACGATTATGCTGCTAGGAGGAGGAAGTGCCCGAAGAGGAAGTGGGCTGTAGGGAGGAGGCCCTTCCACCCTCTCAAAGTCTATTCTCCCACCTCCCTCTCTCGTCTGTGTATGCATTCTCTCTCATTTTGGGATCATTATTATTATGATTTATCAGCAGCGTTCGTCTATTTTGTCTTTGCGAGTGACGACTGATTATCACGATTGGGCACATTGCACTGTGTATCAGTATGCTTTCCGTAGCGATTGACGAGGGTAGAAGATTCTGTGTCAGAAATGAGGTCGGCATAGGTACGGAAAAGGAAAGAGAGAAATTTGTGCCTTGGTAGGCCCACAGGAATGTTAGAACTCTAACAACAAGAGTTCTCTGCAATCAGCAGCAAATTTGGAGCCAAGTATTATCAGTATTTTGGGTTTCCATCTGGACCTCATTATCATATGGGTATGTTCAAAATGTTGAACTCGTCCGAATCTGCACGTGGTCCAGAAAAAGTCCAAATGCATGGAGGTTGTTGAGTAGCGGAGTAAGGCAATATGTGTGTGCACGAGTATCAACGAAGTGTGGACGTG